CGGGAGAAGGAACGAGAGCTGGAGAGGAGTGTGGTAGGTCTGGGGGTCCCACGGCTGCAGCACAGCCAGGGTGGATGCTCGAGTGCCCCCTCGTCCACTCTCTGCTGGGACCCTGAAGCTGGTCTCTTTGCTCTTTTGCAGAAGATGGCCCAGGAGGGCCGTCCAGTCGAGTGCTCGTCCCTTGGGCCAGTTCCCCACCGCCCCTCCTTCGAGCAGGGCAGTGCTGTAGCCACTGTTCCCCCATACCTGGGCCCTGACACCCCGGCTCTGCGCACCTTGAGTGAATACGCACGGCCCCATGTCATGTCCCCCAGCAACCGCAACCACCCCTTCTACGTGCCGCTGGGGGCAGTCGACCCAGGCTTGCTGGGGTACAACGTGCCGGCCATCTACAGCAGCGATCCAGCGACGCGGGAGCGAGAGCTGAGGGAACGGGAAGCCCGCGAACGAGACCTGAGGGACCGGGACCTGCGTGAACGTCTCAAGCCTGGCTTTGAAGTCAAACCAGCTGAGTTGGAGCAGCTCCATGCTGTGCCGGCTGCTGCCATGGATCCGTTCCCACGCCACGGCGGGCTGAGTCTGCAAACAGCCCCTGGCCTTCATCCTGCTTTTCCCTTCCACCCAGGGCTGGGCCACTTGGAGCGGGAGAGGCTGGCGCTGGCAGCTGGCCCCACCCTTCGTCCCGACATGTCCTATGCTGAGCGGTTGGCGGCTGAACGCCAGCACGCCGAGCGGGTGGCTGCTCTCAGCAATGACCCTCTGGCCCGGCTGCAGATGCTCAATGTGACGCCTCATCATCATCAGCATTCCCACATCCACTCCCACCTCCATCTCCACCAGCAGGATGCCATACATGCAGGTAAGGACCCTGTGGCAGTGGTGCCTTGCACAAAGCCCTGCTGTCTATTCTAATGTGTCCTCCTTACGCTCCCTCCCTCTGGCCCTGGGGAAGCCCAAAAGCTGCTGAGACTAGACTTTGAGGTCACAGATCTTCAGCCAGAAGAGCCCAACATCATGGTCGTTATTCCTTGCCCTCACTCCCATCCCACCAAAGGCACTGACACTGCTGTTTAGTGGCAAGCAGAATTGTTTACACCATGTCCTTTCATTCTGGATCTCTGAGAACGCAGTATAAGTGCTGGGATCCATCCCACTGGCTGCCAGGCTGTTACTGCTGTGGACTTCATCCCTCACATTGGGCTCTGCAGAGGGAATGGAAGCCCAGCTAGAACGGTTTTGACAGTGTCCTTAGGACTAATGAAATGTTGGTTATCAGGTTTGCTCCTATAGCTCTTGCTGCAGGTAGTGGGATGGGATGGGATGGGATGGGATGGGATGGGATGGGATGGGAGAAGGAACTGAAGGCTGCTATTCTTCAGAATTGAGTGGTGGTCCCTTCCATTTCCACGTCCTACAGGAAAGCAAAGTAAAAATTTAAGGGATGAAAATCTCAGGGAAGCAAAGCCCAAGCTACAGTACAATAGGAAAAAAGTGTTGTGCCTGCTCAGGTGCTGTGAGCAGTCAGTGGGATCTGGTAGCAGAGTGGCAGAGGCTGGCTCTAAGTAGCCACAACTCCTCAGAGGTGGCACCAGGTACAAATGAATGTCCATTCCCCCATTCTCCATAGCTGGGCATCTCTAGCCAGCACTCTGGCAGTGAGTCCAGACCACTGGAAAGAGCATCTGTCCTGGATGAGACCGGGAAGTGGAAGCATCCAATACAAGTATGCACATGAATGACTGCCAGGGTGGCAGATAAGCATGATACAGGGTGCAGACCTGATTGCAGAGCAGGTCCTTGCAGAATTGACTTTTAAGGAGCAGTACTTCTCCCTAAGGCGTGTGGGAACAGAGCTCTGCCAGACTGGTTCATATGAAACTCAATGCAGGCAAAAAGAGTAACACTCAGAAGGACATGTTGTCTAGCTGTGAAGTGATTCCATCCCTTCATACTCCATACTCCATACTCCAGCCTTCTCTCCATGTCTGTTTTGTGAGGCCTTGCACCTTTCTTCGTGTTAACTTTTACAAAGCATGGGACAATTATCTTGTGTTATCTTTTGTTCCCAGCCTCAGCCTCTGTTCACCCTCTTATTGACCCACTTGCCTCGGGATCACACCTCACCCGGATACCATACCCAGCTGGAACCATCCCCAACCCTCTCCTGCCTCACCCTCTTCATGAGAATGAAGTGCTTCGCCACCAGCTTTTTGGTAAGGATGCTCACAGGTTCTGCTGATCTCCTCCTGAGAAATCAACAGAGCTCTGACAGGCAGGGGCATCAGGAGGGGTCACAGGACCAAACAGGTCTGTCAAACAGAGCTCTAGCATGGTGTAGGACAGGACCACTCTATCAGGGAGTGGGCAGGTCCTCCATGTGGGCAGGGCAGGGAATGGGAGTGCAGCAGAGTCTTGACTGAGCTGTGGGGCCATGGATGGAGCTGTTTCATCAACTTGTTTCTTCTCTGTTTCGGGTGCAGCTGCACCCTACAGGGACCTGCCGGGCTCTCTCTCCGCGCCCATGTCAGCGGCACACCAGCTGCAGGCCATGCACGCGCAGTCGGCTGAGCTGCAGCGCCTGGCCCTGGAGCAGCAGCAGTGGCTTCACGCCCATCACCCCCTGCATGGCGTGCCGCTCCCGACGCAGGAGGATTACTACAGGTGCGTGGGCCTGCTCTCACCTCACACGTATGCCTGCAGGCCCAGCCTGGGGCTGGTGGAGGTGGTGGGCACAAGGAAGCATTGCCCCTGAGATGGGTGACTGCCTGAGCCCACACCTGGGAGCACGGATGCCTTGCCTTGCCATGGGGAACAGCTGTGGGCTGGCCACCAGGAAGGTCATTCTTGGCAAGTGGCTATTCAGTGACTAATCTCATATGGGATCTCAGCTCCTCACCTCTGGAAGGGGAAAGAACTTTACATGTTTCACACATGCTAAATGCAGTTATGACTAGCCAATAGCCCTGCCAAAATACAAAACATTTGCAAGGGCTTGATGCTTTTGCCAAGACGAGGCTTTCACATGTAAATGGGAAGGCACACTGGGAAAGAAAGAGGTGCAGTGCTGTACCTTCAATAGCATCTCCTACTTCAAGGATTTGCCAAACTTTGCAAGCCAGGAGTGTCATGTGGGTCTAGAATAACAGAGGCAGGGGGACGTAATAAAGTGTCTTTTCCCCCTTCACAGTCACCTCATTCCTCTTCTTTATCCTAGCCACCTGAAGAAGGAAAGTGACAAACCCCTTTAAATGGACTTCTGCTGTCAACATGACATCATCATGTCTTTCTCTTAAGAGGAACAATCAATCAACCAAATCCTGATGAAGGGGAAGCTGCAAAGTGACACATCCTGATCCCATCATGCTGTAAGAGTACAAGAGAAGACGGACAAAAAGTACAGGGTGGCATCCTGGGAACAGAAAGTGGAGGAGAGAAAATGGGGAGGGACTGAAACACCACTAACGGACATGAAACAATCCGTACGTGATTTCAGCTGAGCTCTGAAGAAAAGAGAATCAGCATTGCACAGAGCTCAGAAAGACAAAGACTGACATGAATTCAGGGTGGCAGCAGCTCCATCCTTTATTTTGGGATAACACTTGCATTAAATAAAAAGTGCAGAGCATTGCAGGACTTCATGTACAGGATGGTGCTGCCTTTTCTACTTCTGTGAGGAGGAGATGCAGCCAAGAAGTAACTCCAAACCCAACAGAGCCTTTTTTCAAGATGCCTCCTCAACACCCCACCCCCCTTTAAGTGTAAGATACTGCTTAGCGATACAGAAGAGCAACGTGGAACTTTTTCAGATTAGCCAGAGCAGCTTCCCATTCTCCAACATCCCTTCAGATGCATACAGCATTACAGGACCCCTTCCTAAGTGGCCGCTCCTGCCTACGGAGGGTCTGGTCCCAGCCATCAGGGTGCAAAGCACCGCAAGACTGTTTGCTGGATAGTGGCTATGCTTTCCTGTGGCTGATGGGAATGGGCACGGCCACGAGGTGCAAAGCACCAGGAGACTGTTTTCAAGACTGCGATCACCACCGTGACCCCTCTGAGCCCCACGGGGAGAGATGACGTGGCTGAGCAGTGACACTGAGTCCTGGGACTGTAAGAGGGCGGCTGCCCCTTTCCCCTCACCCATCCTAATTGATGTACTTTAACTCATGCACATCCTATTAGACGTGGCAGTTTTATGTAGCAACTTGTGACTCCCTTGCCCCTGCGTGCGTGTTCTGATTTCACAGTTGTATCTCTCGATTGGTCCCCCATATATATATATATATTTACTTAACCATTAAAAGGAAAACCAACCAA